AAAAAAAGTACCTTTATCACAGTGGTTTTATCCTCTGGTAGTTAAAAGCGGTCATAACATTTCAAATTATGCAGCTTTTATTATCTAATACTAAGCAATACTTAGTTATGGTTAAGAAATGGTTTTACCCTCTGACACTGAAACAGTGGCCATATAATTTCAACTTAAGCAGTTTTATCTTCTAACAATGAAGAAGAAATTTTATTTTTTGAAAACAGACAGCTGAATACTTTTAAAAAAAGTATTTGTAATTATGACATTTAGTGGTTTATCAAGTCTTTGGCCCCAGTGGCACAGCGGAATGTCTGCGGACTTACAACGCTAGAAACCGGGTTTTGATACCCCGGGTAGGCAGATAGCCCATTCTGTAGCTTTGTGTTTAACTTCAACCAACCAACCAATTAAGTCTTTGAAAATCTATAAATTTCAGTCGTATAACATAAAATCAAGATATTTTCAAAATATCTCTGCCGAGACAACGTGGTGCTGCCATCTAACCATTTAATTTTTAACTAATTCAATACCAAAAAAGAATTTCTAAACTGTTTACATTATGTTATTTTAGAAAGCACAGATTTATAATCAAAATAACTTCATAAAAAATAATAGTAAATTACCATAAAAACATTATATATCATTACAATAGAAATGCTTATTAATTAATTCGTAATCTAATGAGTAAATAAGTTTTTTTATTTTGATTTCTAGTTCGGAAATAAACATCAGTTTTCACATTAGTAACGGGAGTATGAATATAAAAACTCACCTAAAGGTGAAAACCGGAGTAACCTTTCATCTCGAAGTGAAGTTGTCTCTGAAAGGTCACTGTCTTCGTCCTCCTCCAATAACGGAGGTGGCGCTGACACCTCGTACCCCCAACGCCGTCGAAAAGCTTGTCGGCCCCCGTCTAACCTAACACGCGGAAGGTCCACAAACAATCGGTCTCCAATCTACCAGAACGAAAGTATGAATAAGAGAAAATGATATTGTCAGACAATTATAGCTCACAGATTTTAATTTTCAGAAATAGATATTTTTTGAATCGCATGATAAGTCCCAAACTAAGTATTCAATGTATTAGTGAGTCACATCAAAAACAATGTACTGCATGTGGATCTGGATCGGGATTCAGATCCTTTTGTCAGGATCTGGGAGGGTCAGGTACTATCGAAGACCTCTTCCATCCCCCTGTACAGCTGTTATAATCATCGGACAAAATAATTCATATTGTCTGCTAAATGCTAAATGAATTATTAGTGAGGGTTGTGTACCGTTTACAGCCTTTAGTTACAACAACCCCTTTCAAAGCCATGTCCATCCATATATCACGTGTAGCATTTAGTATCGGAATATACATTTCTTCGTTTGGTATGTATAGTCCTACACATAACAAACAGTCCCGTATATCGCGACATATTCATTTCACTAATTCATGACAAGAGTATCTGTACTATTATTCTGCTTGTTTGTATGTATGGCCGTTAGCGCATTATTCACTCGACGACAAACTGTCTGCCTAAACTAAAGTTAAAAAAAAAAAAAACGTACACAGAGTTACAGAGTTAATTTATCTCTTTGTCGAACTTAGGCCTAACATAAGTTAAAGTTTTATAAAGTA